TTTTAATAAAATAATCAGCTCCACTAACAATTAAATATTTAACTATATCAATATGTCCATAATAACAAGCAGCATGTAATGCTGTTGAACCAGATGTTGGACTTAAACGCATATCTCTTGAGAAATTTTTATTATGTTTTCGATTTTGTACATTAATATAGCATTTACCTTGTTCAATAAGATATATAACAATATCTAAATAATTATTTCTTGATGATGAATATAATAATGTTGTATCCCAAATAGACGATTTATCTTTATATTTCGGATGTATTTCAACAAATTGTTTAACTAATGATAAATTTCCATCAAATGAAGCTTGAAAAGCATCAAATGATTGTATAATACCAATAAGATCATGAGATAATTGTTTAAGAATATATTTTTTAATTGTTTCATTAAATATTCCTTTTGAATAATCAGAAATATAATCAGAAAAAAAATCTAAAAAATATTCTCGGTATTTCAAAGATAATAAATTAAGTAAACTTTTTAATTTATTATTTATTTGTATTGTAAGATTTTCCATAATTTGTTTATTTGAATCAAATTTATCACGAGAATTTGTATAAGATGATTGTTCAACATTTGTCGTTTCAATTATTTCAATTATTTCTTCCAAACATTTTTTTAAACAATTTTCATCAGTTTCAAAAGACATTTTATGAGAATAGTTTCGTCTACAGTTTATTTTTTATGACGTTTAACGGCGTAGCTCTTTTTTCTGGAGAATTTTTGTATGTAAAAGTCGAGAAGAAAAAACGAAAAAAAAAGCTTATTTCGCATGACAGTGGTGTGTTGAAAAAAAAAGGTAACACGTGGCAAGACGTAAGAGAGAAATAAAAAAAACCGAATTTCGTAAAAAAAAAGAAAAAGAAGGAAGACAATAAAAAATCTCGTATATATATAAATACGTCTCATTGATTATTTACTCGGAAGAAACGTTTTTACAGAATATAAAAAGATTTGCATTTCTTTTCATTTTAAAAGAACGTTCTTATGATAAATGAGTGATAATATGTATTCATTTTATCATAAAAAACTTTTCAATTTGAATTTAAAAGAGAATTTTAAATAAAGAATAACCTTCTTATGAAGACGTTTTTTTAAATACTTCTTATCAATATTTTCATTTGAAAATTTCTTTTCAATTAATTCTTATTAGAAATTTCAAAATATGTTCTCATTACTGAAAATATTCTTTACGTTTTTGATGAGTACCTTATCCGTCGATAAATTTAAATATGTTAGAATACTTTTCGTTTATTTTATCTTTTTCTCAATATTTTTAATTTTATTCAAATATTTCTTTTATTATGTTAAAAGTAAAAGAAATATTACAAAAAGAAAACGTTCATTAGAAAGTTTTTGAAAAATTTTTCAGGAAAACTTTAAAAATTGAATAAATTAAAAATAGTTTATGTATGATGTGTAATCTTGTGTCATTAAACTTCCTTTTATTTATTATTTTCACTTTCGCAATTGAAGATGAAGTGTTAGACTATGAGGAAGGAGTATGAATTCAAAATATGTTATTAAAATGAAATAGAATAAAAAAGTGGATTTTGATTAGAATAAATTGCAAAGCGTCACTTATTTATATAAACGAACATTTAATTCCTATATACCGTATTTATTTAGTTTGTATTGTCTTTGCCATGTTGCATGGCTACTCTTAGTAT